TTTTCCCTGATATTTCAGGATTAAACAGCGAATATCAATGTCTTTCATGGGGCCCTAAATGGCAGCACCCCTGGACTTCAATTTCCTCTTTCTAGCTGACATAAAACGCTGTTGCCTATCATCTCCAAACTCAATATGTTGTGCATTCATTGATTGTACTCTTCATAATTTGGTCACAACAATCAAACTTGGGTTTTGTTCCATGTTTTCTTCATGTCATCACCACCATTCTTGGCAGTCATTGCATGTTTAAACGTTTCACTTAGGTTCTTATAAACAGACATTTTGTTGGTCAGATGAAATAGGTTAATCTTTTTTTTCGACTCAAACATATTTTCAGGTTTGGAGCAGGGACCTTCTACTCTGGCTCTATTATGGCCTATGGAGGTCTCTAAATTGTTTTGCTATTGAAACGGACAATGGGGTCAGGCTTCAGGCTTGGTGGTTCCCGCACATCCCAGGTTACTCCAAGGATATATCAGCTTGGCTCAGATGGTTGAAACCTGGACACATTTTAGAGTTCCAGTCAGACAAATATCTCCAACACACACAAAACTGTGTTTCAGAAACAAAAGGTCAGCCAGCATTGGACCCCTGGGGTCTGTTTGACGAATCGGGTTTAACAAACTCAGAATCAAATCCTCAACTCTAAATTGATCTAGCCTAAGGTTGGGAACTCTGGGTTTTTGGGTTCACAACAGCAGCTATAAATTATTTCAATCAACTCCAAGTAGGTCCACTCAGAGTTAAACGCATGTGTGACAAGTTTAAAAAGCCATCATCAGTGGAGCCCCATATCGACGAGTCACCACGACAAAAGGCCTATTTCACCCAACTGGAACTGGAGATTTTAATAAAGAAATGAAAAACAAAATGGAAATTTTGTTTAAAAGACAGAAACAGGTAAGGAAGATGGCGAAGGTGAAGATTGTTGCTCGAGTTAATGCATTAATTTATATGAAGTAGTCTATGGCAGGCTGTATTTACATTTATTAAAAGGACTCTCCTCTCTCTTGTTCTATTTGTAGATCAGTAAAAACGGTCATAGTCTGTTGTGATCATGAAAACATTCCAGATTTATTTCTTGAATGGTAGTGGATCAATGTATCTATTTAGGGGGAAATCATCTGGCAGCAGGTAAAGATGAAAAATAAATTTTTTATTGATCATTTCATGGGTTCTCAGTTTGATTCTGTCTTCCATCACTGTTTGCAACTGCTTTGAATGTTATCATCCAAATAAATGGTCATTATTAGCAGTTATCAGTCCCATAGAATGGCTTCAGTTCAGATTGTTCCAGTAGGCTCATTAGGTTGTTATCACTGAGTGAAACCTAACCCTAAAGGTACTTCCTTTTCTCACTGTGGAATTCATTTATGTATAATCTGAAAATAATTTCAGTAGTTCTTCATGTAATGCAATCTAAATAAAAATAAAATTATCCGCATGTTGCTTAGAATAACTACACAGAAAATAAATCTCATATCCTGTCAACTGAGTTGTAGAATCCTCTCCCTATAAATATTTAATTCTCTGTGAAAAAGCACTGATCATTGTTTAATAAGATCCTTGTCAAATGGACATGCAAGGATTCTTTTTAAAACCTAATGTGTCTAACAGACCTGGTGAATAACTTTTTTTTTTTAATACAGAAAAGGAAAAAACCTGTGTGATTGGCTGTAAGGAGAACAGAGACAGAGGACACTCAGAGTTTACTGAACAAAACCTGCAAACCAGGTTAGCTCTGGGGAGAATGTTACTATGGTGACTGAAGCAGAGGTTGAGTAACAATC